ATTTTATGCATTTTGCTCAGAGGCATCTAATTAGACAGATTAGCTCGAAGGCTCAGTAACCTTCTATTTTATTCTTCTAAAAAGGAGGTTTTGTCCGTTAGGAACCTCTCACTCTGACTGGGCAGCAGGCTCAGCCTGTTGGCCTGCGAACTAGAGCTCACAGGTCTGCCCGCGTGCGAAGTCCGCAAACACCTGCATTTTGTATGTGTATCACCGTATGTTTGCATTTAGGGGCGCTCCTATGCCTTTATGTCCAAAGTCACAGCACAGATGCATGGGCGTCAGGGCAGCCAAAGTGCCCTTTTCCACAAGCCAAAGGGAAGTGAAAAGTTAGCTCACGAAGGTCCAAGGGGTAGGAACACCTGATTAGCATAAGTGCCGAACAAAGGAAATGAAAGAGAAAAACATGCCTGCATGTCCTCCTTTGTTCCAAAAATGAATTCCAATTCTTGTTGGCACGCTGCCAGCCTGCATTCCAGAAGAAAAAGAAAACTCACTTATCAGGGAAAGATAAACCAGAGACGGAGGCTAACAAGCTCTCAGATTGACAAAAGCATCGTGGGTTGCCATGGAAAGAGAGCTTTTTAAACTGGGAGGGTCATTATCCCCTTCCTTTCAAAATCCACCAGGTGTGTCAGCCGAGGATCTCGTTAGACAAACAAGATTCCTCGGTGGAGCATCTGGAATGACCTCCCACCACGTTTCCTTCCTTGAGGACTCTGCCAACTCCCAAGAGCCATCCATATGTGCACCTAAGTCCCCCACTTGGATCAAATTCCCTGAAACAGACACCCGCTCTCCCAGCACACAGCAGCCAGTAAAGCTTTTGGGTCAGAGAGTACAAACTCACCTGCGTGTCTGTGCCATTTGATGGCGGCCAGTTAGCCAGAGATGGTGACAAGTTGCAGGCCTCCACTTGCCTATCTGGAAGGAACAGCCATTACTCAAGTTCAGCCACTTGTCACCCAGAGGCACGGTATTGCTAGATTGTGTTTTAAGAGAAGCTTCCCTCATAGCTCAGTTGGTAAAGAATCTACCTGCAATGCAGGAGACTCAGATTCCATCCCTGGGTCGGGAAGATCCCCTGAAGAAGGAAATGGCAACCCACTCTGGTATTCTAGCCTGGAGAGTCCTATGGACAGAGGAGCCTAGTGGGCTACATTCCATGGGATCCCAAGAGTCGGACACGACTTAGCAACTAAACCACCACCAAAATCTCTACGTGTATATGAAATTTCCTGATTTTTAAATGCTGGTAGCAATTCAAAAAAAAAACAAAAACAAAAACAAACTGTCAAACCTAGTGCTGAGCCAAATAAAACTTGACCAGAGGCCTAATTTGACCTTGAAAATGCCAGAGCCACCCCTGCCTCAGGTCATTCACAGCCCCTGAAAAATGTCTTCCAACCCCAACCAACTATTATGCTTTCATTGCCTACTGAGGGCAGAACCTTTCAGATTTCCATGCTTTTGTTTATTCTGCTTCACCTGTCTGAGTTGGTCTTTCCTGCAGTCTCTGCTTGTCAAAATCCAATATCAAGGTCCAACTCAAATGTCAGTCTGTTTGTGAAGTCTGCCAGGATCACTGCAGTCAAAATTAATCATTCCTGTAACACTCAGTTTTTATCTTTTTTTCTTGCACTTAGCAGATCGGCCTCACAGGAGGGGTAAGCAGTGCTGGTGTGAGTCCCAGTCATGAGTCCTGGAGACTTCGTATTTTATCCAATACATCCTCTCTCTCTGCCCAGTGCCCAGCATGGAGCCTGTGTGGATGGTTGGTTCGAATTTTCTTTGGGCAAGTTATTATATGAGAAGCAATACATGCAGTTCACTGACTAAAAAAACCAAAAAAACTCAGAACACTTCAAAGATAATTAATTCAATTTCTGCCTTGTATTAATCATGTCAGGTGATCACATGATAAACCCCGAGTACTTCTGAAATTGGGTCTATTGTTGTTCAGTCGCTGAGTCAAGTGAACCCATGGACTGTAGCACTCCAGGCTTCCTTGTCCCTCACCATCTCCTGAAGTTTGCCCAAGTTTATGTCCATTGCATTGATGATACCATTCAATCATCTAATGAAATCGGGTCTACACAATGGTGATTAAATCAACAGCTATTCAAATAAGGTGCACCACTTTGCCAGAACCCAGAGATATGTTATTATTATCATGTATATTATGACTTCCAAAGTTCTTTTTCTTTTTTTCTCATGTTTTCATCCTATGTACCCACTACACTTTCTGGCACAGAGAAAGTGAAGTGAAAGTTAAAAGTGCTCAGTCGTGTCCAACTCTTTGTGACCCCATAGACTATAAAGTCCATGGAATTCTCCAGGCCAGAATACTGGAGTGGGTGGCCTTTCCCTTCTCCAGGGGATCTTCCCAACCCAGAGATCGAACCCAGGTCTCCCGCATTGCAGGTGGATACCAGCTGAGCCACAAAGGAAGCCTGGCACAGGGAACGGATTCAATAAAATATTTGTGGAGTTTAAGCATCATCATTGAAACAAGACTCTAATGAGCACCTACTTAAAAAAACAGCACACTCTGAGGTGGTGATGCAGGCACCACCCTCTAACAGCTGCAATCCCATTGGAAAGCAAAATAGATTTAAGTGAAAAAAAAAAATTTAAAACACCATCCATAGCTGGTAAATGCTGGAAGGTATTTCTTGAACTAAATGCTGGGGATTCAAAGAGCGCAAAAGGCAGTGCCCACGCTCGTGGAGATTTGAGTATTATAGGGGAGTTTGAAATGGAAAGGTCATTGTGGACTGAGCCATTGGAAAAGGTGCAATTTGAAATCACATGGAGCAGGAAGCTAGTAAATTCTAGATGGAAACTGATGCCCTATTGTTTTAACGCTGGAGATGTTAATGGAAGGAGGACATCAAATAAATTGAAATGTTGCAGAAGGGAAAATATCCTAAAATAATGTTACTCAAACATGCCAGTGGCCTTTCTGGGACACAGGAAAGTAAAAATTCCTACCCCTGAAACTTGGGATCACGCCTAGCTACGACCAACAGTAATGATCCAAGGGAGTGATGAGTCAGGGGGTGTGAGGTCCGACAGGAAGACCAGCTCTGCCTGGTGCCTGCGGTTGTCCTTGACTCTCTCCATTCTGGGGACACGGGTGCTGAAGGAACGGGTGAGACAGACCCCCTATTCTACCCTAGCATCATCCGGCTTCTGCCTTTCATGTCTCCAAAACACTACTCTCTATCTGTCTCAGTCCATTCAGGCTGCTGTAACAAAAATATACCATTAACTGGGTGGCTTATAAACAGCAGAAATTTATTTCTCACCATCTGGAGGCCAGAGAGTCCAAAGTCAATATGCAAACAGATTGATTCTGATGAGGACACTCTTCACGGACAGCTAAGTGACCTTGTCCCTGAGCCCTCACATGGCCGAAGGGACAAGTTAGCTCCCTGGGGGGGCCCTCTTCTTACAATGGCACTAACCCCAATTAGGAAGGCTCCACCCTCATGACCTAATCACTCTCCAAAGGCCCTGCTCCTAATGCCATCACTTGGAGGTGACTTTTGGGGAACACAGATGTTCAAACCATAGAAGTATAGAAACTCCCATCTCTCTCATGGATCACCTCTGTCTATTCACAAACTTTCCAATCCCTGGATACAGCTTCCCTTTTGGGGGTAAGGAGAGGATTATAACCATGACCACTGTTCACCCCTTCTGTTGCCCAACTTGCATTTGGTCAGTTGGTCAGGGAAAGCAATGACAAAGGAGTAAGGAATAGTCTTGGTTTCAGTGTAAGCCTTTTTCTCTCTCCCTCTCTCTCTCTCTCTTTTTTCAGCCAAGCTACATGGCACGTGGCACCTTAGTTCCCTGACCAGGGATTGAACCAACCATGGATGGAACTTGCACTCCCTGCAGTGAAAGCTCAGAGTCTTAATCACTGGATCTCCAGGGAAGTCCCAGACTTTCTCTCCCAAGAGGGTAAGTTGATACCATGACATGTTTCCCCCTTAGCCCACGAAACAGAACAATCCATCCACAAGACCTGAGTGTGTATAGCTTATAACTATCCTATAAAACAGAGAAAATGCAGTTAAGGAAATAAAAAAGAATGAGAAATGTGGGGGGAAGTGGAAGAAGGAAGGAGATCAGCATAACAGGTAAAAAAATAAAATAAGAATGATTTATTGAGAGAAATCTGAGGTGCATCTGGGAGTTGCTGGAAATTAAAATATGAGGAAAAGGGGGGAAAACAATTAGATAGAATCAAATCCCTGCTTTGCAAACCCATGCTCTGACAATAATTCATTCTTAAAAGAAGGTGGGGGGCAGAAGGATATCAGAAGATGGGAAAGAAATAATCAACACAGAAGTGAAGGTGTCAACCTGAACAGATTTCAAGCTGAAACAAAGAGTTTATATGATTAGCTGCAATTACATGGAGATGTATAAACATCTTGGACAAATGGTACCCAGTAAAACTCCAGCACTTCCTAGTGCCTTATTAGTTTAGTCTTTTGATATTTATGTTCTGCCAGCAAAATTTTTTGTCCTATCTGATGTGTTTGGCAAATCCTTTATTTGGGATGCTTCCTGATTTCAATATTTTTAGCTGCAGTGGTTTTTTAATCACGAGGGTATTGTTTCTAAAGCAATTATTTTATGTGCAACCAAAAGCAAAACTGAAGCCCAGTCCAGATTCATCTATTATCCTCTAAGCAACAGGCACAGCAGGAAAGGGCAGAAAATTGACCTTGAGGACCAGAATATGAAGGGATCTCAGATTTTTCTTATAACACATGGTAGGGGGTGACCTTTGCTGCTCTCACCCAATGTCGTTGATTGAAAGCGGCAAACTGCAACTTTATCTGTGTTCATCAGAAATGGAGGCTCATTTACTCCTCCCACCTTGAAACCGAGCCTCTGCAATCAGCCAGCTTTCTGAGTGGCCTACAGTTTAGATAAGAGGCACAAGAATGAACATCTTTCTAGAAAGAAATGTAATGTCTTACCGTTCAATTGTTTTTCGGAGGAAGCAGTAGCACCCCTGCTTTGGGGTGTAGAGGCCTGGAATTAGCACCTGGAAGGAGGAAGAACTGAAACTTCCCAACTGACCTCATCTCAAGCAATCTCGAGACTGACATCTTCTTCAAAGCCCCCCTCACAAAGGGACAGAGCAAATCCATCAGTTCCCTGAGGTCCCTGTTGTTGGTTTCCATTGCCACTTCCCCCACAGTCTATCTCCACCCAAAAATGATGGGGAAAAGACAGGGTCAAGTCCTTTGTGGCAAGGCAGACATACACACAGCCATCAGAGGGTAAAGAAACAGCCCTAAAGACTGACTTCCAGGGTCACCTTCATGTTTCAAGCCCACATTCAGGCATCAGGTTGCTTCTGTCACAAAGCGCTTCCTTCCTAGAATATTTAAATTGATTCAATAAAGGCATTGTTCAGAGAGGAAATGTGCAGAACAACCAACGCAGTCATTTCTCCAGCAAACACAGGCTGAAGAACAATGCGAAGTCTCTTTTCCAGTTGTCCGTGGGAAGGTGCTCATTTGGAGTCATTACCTCGTGTGTCTGTCAGAGGGGATCTGCGTCAGGCTGTCATGAGGCACGTTCCCTTTCCTTCGGAAAAGGGGTTTGGTGACTTGGCTCTATCACAGCTGTGAGACTGTGGTTCAGGGAGCTGCTTCAGATCCAGCTTTCTTTCTAGAAAGTTCGAAGCCAACCAGGTTACAGTTATCAGGGCAGACTTTAAAAACTGCAAGATTTTAAAACAGGTAAGAAAGGAGAGAGGGGGGCAATCCCAGAAAAAAAGAGTTTTCTTGGGGAATTCCACTACAAACTGAAGACAGGAGCTGCTGCCCTTAGGGGTGGGAGCGAAGGTCCTAAGAGTTGCTGTAGCTGCCTCAAAAGAAAGTGTGTAACACCGGAAAGGCAGGGAGCCTGAGGTCTGGCCCAGACGGTCTCCATCCCAGTGTAGATTTTATTCCCTCACTGTGTCCCTTCTGCTCAAGAACTCTGCACGGTCCCACTGCCTTCAGAACCATATCCCAACACACAGTTCTCCAGAGTAGACAAAATGGCACCAGCCAGCCTTCAATGCCTTCGCAGTACGGTGTTCCCCCTCAGTGACACGTATCCTCTGTCCTGCCCTCCAGACCTGCGATCTGCCTGTCTGCACTGACTCGCATCCTGGGGGCCTCACCTGTGGGATCCCATCCAGTTCCCGCGGGAGGTTCCTGGGTGGGTTCAACCAATAGGGAGAGAGGGGCGGAGCCAGGCAGGCCGTCAGAGTGACGTGGCTGAGGAGTCCATTGTTCTAGTCTCTTCCGTTTCCCTCACCTTTAAGCCAGCCGCGCCTCTCTTGTAAAGGGCAGTGCTCCCTGAGAGGCGGCTCCCTCTACACTGCCCTCGCTGGTTCTCATGACCATTCTTTCCTTCAGTTCTAGAGGATGAGGTTAATAACCCCGCCCTCTTCCGTCACCACACTGCTTCAGGTTCAGTCAGTTCAGTTCCGTTTAGTCGCTCAGTCAAGTCCGACTCTTTGCGACCCCATGAATCGCAGCATGCCAGGCCTCCCTGTCCATCACCAACTCCTGGAGTCTACTCAAACTCATGTCCATCGAGTCGGAGATGCCATCCAGCCATCTCATCCTCTGTCGTCCCCTTCTCCTCCTGCCCCCCATCCCTCCCAGCATTAGAGTCTTTTCCAATGAGTCAGCTCTCCGCATGAGGAGGCCAAAATATTGGAGTTTCAGCCTCAGCATCAGTCCTTCCAATGAACACCCAGGACTGATCTCCTTTAGGATGGACTGGTTGGATCTCCTTGCAGTCCAAGGGACTCTCAAGAGTCTTCTCCAACACCAC